AGAGTCAAAAGTGGATCTTGTGAAAAAAATGAACAAGGAAAACAATAAACAAAGAATTGGAGGGAAAGTAGATGAATACAGGAGAAGAAAGTATGAGTCCCATATACTAGGGATCATCTGCTCCAGATAGAAGCTACTTGTCCTTCATTGCCAAGTTACACTATTTGTTCTCATTCCCCCAATCCATCAGTAAACTAAAGTGGGACCAGGAAATATATACCTTTTCCCTCCCAGTCCTGCAGAAAGCCAGTCCACTGAGATGGATGGGCTCTTCCTTGTTACCTGCAGGAGGAATTTAAAACGATTCTCTTGTCAGGCTTTTTGATGTTAGCTTACTGGGGGTTGTTGCTACTTTAATTTATTGTCCAGGTTTATTACTTTTGTTCTTTTACTGCAACTGTATATTTTATACTCTTTTTTCTTTTTATTTATTGTTAGAGGAGGTGGCTTAGAAATAGCATTAAGCTATTAGAAGACAGATTATTCATTCAACAGAACAAATGCAAAATGGATAAAATGAAAAAGGATATGGAAGTTCCTTGGAGCAGAATGGAAAGAATTGTGTTACAAAAGTGTTTGACATTACGTTAATGAGAAGTATGGAAAAAATGTTTGGTGGTATGATGACATGAAAGAGGCTGTAAGTGAGGGGGGAAATTCATATAAGTGCCCCTCCCAAATGAGTATGAAGCCTATTATACAATGTAATTATATTTTGCTGCTTGTTATTTTGTTTAGATGAAAGAATGGACGTTGCTGAGAAATGACCAGACTTTTAGAGCCAGAAGATCATGACCCAAAGTTTAGATGGAATAGTTAAAATTAATGGGGATTTCAAAAATATCTGTGAGCCTGTGGAGGATGGGACTTGTTTCCTGACAAGCCAGTTTGGCGTAATTGGATCATCTGCCAATAACAGGTTCCCTTTTTCCAGAACTATTGGACTTTGTTACCATTTTGCAGGACATTCTTCTGTGAAATGGTCAAATTCTGCACAATCAGAATCTCAGTGCTAATTTATTTAATTTTTAGTAGAGTTTTGCTAGCTCAATTATGGAGTTTTGCTAGCTGAGTTATGGAGGTCCTGTTTGTCACCACTCATGCCTTAATCACTTCCAAGCTGGAATATTACAATGTGCTCTACATAGTAATAGTAATAAAGTTGGAAGAGACCTTGGAGGTCATCTAGTCCAACCCTCTGCTCAGGCAGGAAACCCTATACCATTTCAGACAAATGGCTGTTCAGTCTCTTCTAAAAACTTCCGGTGTTGGGGCATTCACATCCTTCGGAGGCAGGTTGTTCCACTGATTAACTGTCAGGAAATTTCTCCTTAGTTCTAGGTTGCTTCTTTCTTTGATTAGTTTCTATTCGTTGCTTCTTGTTCTGCCTTCAGGTGCTTTGGAGAATAGCTTGACTCCCTCTTCTTTGTGGCAGCCCCTGAGATATTGGAACACTGGTATCATATCACCCCTCGTCCTTCTCTTCATTAAACTAGACATACCCAATTCCAGCAACTGTTCCTTATATGTTTTACATGGCACTGCCCTTGAAAACAATACCAAAGCTACAATTGCTCCAGAATACACTGAAGCTGATAGTTATGGATGATGGGACATTCATGTAGCACTCTAATTTATGACCTGTATCAGCTCCTAGTAACCTCCTGGTGTAATTGAAGGTGCAGATTTTCATTACAAAGCCTGTAGAGAGCCAAGGAAAGAATCTTGGGGAAATCAGATAGAGGGAATGGTTACAAGATACTTTAAGCCTGGGCAACAGGAAAAGTTCTGACCTATTTGCTGAGCTAGCTGATTAATCATCAAGGTGAATTGGTCCATCTGTGTTGGCACCTTTCTCATGCTACACTGTTTAGTTCTGATGCCAAGTGGGCATTCAATGACAAGGTCAATACAAAGGGTGTTGATCTAGGACATTTCAGATAATTTCTCCTGTTGTAAAACTGGAATTACAGAGAAGGGGAGTTGTCTTACCTGAACGCCTTTTCTCAGCACGGAGATGGAGAATTCACCAATGGTTTTAGACTGTGTTCCTGCTCAATCAGATCAAGTCAGCCAAACCTGCTACGCCTATCCTGGACTAGGGCGTCCCAGTCTCGACGTGGGCGAAGCCATTGACTGAAAGTATGACGTGTTGGTTCACAGAACCTAACCCTAGGCCTAAAGAACCTGCGAGGGTGGGAGTGGATTCTCCATCTCCGTGCTGAGAAAAGGCGTTCAGGTAAGACAACACTCCTTCTCCAGCATAGGAGATGGAGAATCCACCAATGGGACATACCAAAGCCTACTGTCCCTGTAGGAGGGAAGCAGCCAGGTCCGGTGAGGCATCTCAAGGTACAACCTATTGGAGAATTCCCCTGCCAAAGGAGGCCTCCGCAGAGGCGAACTTGTCCAGTTTGTAGTGTCGGATAAAGGGCGAGGGTGAAGACCATGTAGCCGCCCTACAAACGTCCTCAATGGATGCCTGAGTAGCCCATGCTGCAGAGGTAGCTGCACTGTTTGTTGAGTGGGCCGTGACCCGACGTGGAACCAGCAATGACTCGGACTGATATGCCCCTGTGATGCACGCCCTGATCCACCTACCAATCGTGGAGGCAGACACTTTCTGACCCCTGGAAGAAGGGTGGAAGGAAACGAAGAGGGCCTCAGAGTTGCGGAAGGCAGCCGTCCGTTTGATGTAACAACGGAACGCCCTATGAACCTCCAGAAGGTGCCATTGCCGTTCCAGATCATGAGATGGATTAGGGCAGAAATCTGGAAGCATGATTTCCTGAGCCCTGTGGAATAGAGAGTTAACCTTAGCCTCCATTCATCTAGAAAAAGGAAAGGCAAGAAATTTTGGGGGTGTTGGACAGTCAGACTGAAAGAAGCGCTGATCCCAGCGCTGCTCAGAAGACTGAGGTAAAATGGAAAATCTACCAATGGGACTGATCTACCTGCCTATGAACCAAATTTGTACGTCTGTCCTGGGCAAGATTAAGTCGAGACTGGGACACCCTAGTCCAGGACAGGGATAGCAGGTTTGGCTGACTTGATCTGATTGGGCAGGAACACAGTCTAAACCCATTGGTGGATTCTCCATCTCCTGTGCTGGAGAAAATGCTCTTGCTGTCAGAAAATTGTCTCAGGATTTTCTTTTTGGAATTAGACTCAGGGCAAATAAGAAAAAATATTTATTGAATATTAAACAGTTTCAACAAGACATGGATCTGATTCTACATAGCGCATATGTATTTTTCCAAGATTTGAACTTTCCTTCTCCCTGCCTGTGTTTAGTGGACTGGTTGCTTCTCAAGCTATATTGGAGTGGACAGCCATAACTAATTTAAATAATAATAATGCCTAATGATTTGTGCCTAGACAGTTCTAATCTTCATAAAACCTTTCAATTTGGATTTAAAAGTAGACCATATTTTCTCAAGTTATTAAAAAAAGATAACGGTTTTTTATTTTTGGATAGAGCAGCCTGACTATAAACATGAAAAAATATATTTAGTGAGATGGTAAAGCAAAGAAAGCTATGTCTCTGTATGGACATTTTTTACATTTAAAGCTATGTTCTCTTGTCACACTCAAGTGAACCCAACTTTGTTATAATGCTACCTTTTCATTGATTATTTCAAGCATGTATTGCTCTCCCTAGTATTAAAGAAGGGCAGTTTTTTAATGATAAATATTAGATGAAACCCTGAATGTCTAGAAGACACAGACAGATGCAGCCCCTCAGCAGTAAACATTCCTAGCACGGCCTGGATTCACATAAAGGTGTTCTACATTGCTTTAGAACAACTGGAGAGAGAAAAAGAATGCTTGATTGGAACAGTAGTATTGCCAACCCTATTTTTAACAATTTTACCACCCACTCTTATACGCTTACATTGTCATTACTAGTAGCATCCTCCATATTAACCTCAATAAAACATAAGAGGCAGTCGTAAATGTATTGCCGTAATTCTTCATTATTTCAGATATGGATTTCAGATATTCACATTAAAAGGCTAGTTTAATAAGGTAGAATAGTTGGCTCCTCTTTTCTGCATCTATTGTCTTAAGAAATTAAGACTCCTCTGATCTAGCTGTCAGCCCAAAACCAAGAAAGACATGTGGTGATTCTTCCAAGCTGAGTTCTTTATTATTTCATACCTATGGACAAAATCTTGCCGCATTGAACATTCTGCCATCTGCATCTACCATATATTCTGAAAACTCTTGGGAAGGGCCTGTCTTTACCCTCTTTCTTTCATACATAATATATGGGCTGAATTGCCTCTTATGCTTCTATGCACCAGCTCCCTCCTGGGAATCCATCTCCTTATTACATTCCATCACAACTTGTTGAAAATAATAGGCAGGAGTGAACTTTTGTGTACAAAATGAAGTCTTAAAGTACAGGTTGATCTTATTTGTGGGGTTGCATCCCAGTATACAACCATGGATAAAGATGTTGCATGTAATGAAAAGTTGAGACTAGGAGAACTGGGGAGCTAGATTCTAGAATACTAGAAAATGACTAAAAAAAAAAAAAGAAAATCAAACATGTAAGGAAAAAGCAGAAACAATGATAACTGTTCTTTGGCCAATTCAGACATTCCTTTCCCCCTATTTTTTGCAAAGGGAAAAATCAGAAATAAAGATTATGTGTACTTATGTATTTCTCTGGGGAGGATAAAATAAGAAGACGATCAAAAAGGGTCAGAATGCTGCAGATATTTGGAAACTGGGAAGCTGATGGGAGTAGAGGGCAGATATTTACTTCACTATATGTGTAAAACAGCAGATAGATCAAAGCCACACTTGGGAATCTATGCATTTGTGAAAGAATATATTATTCTGGCACAGAATTATCAACCGTGCAAATGAGCAACTAAAGCTAATGAAGATAAGATAAAATAACCTTTATTGTCATTTTTTCACTGAGGGCACAACGGCACACATCAAAAATGAAATCCCACCAGTATATAAATTAAAATCACACCAATTACCTTGCACTTTCAAAAGTTGCAGAAGGTGACTTTCCAACAGCACCAAATCCAACACCAACAGCCAAACCCTCTGAAACAGAGCAAAAAAGCCGTGGTTATTAATCCTGCAATTAGCTTGGCAGACAGATTGTTCTATTCAAATCTTTGGTTTATATAAAACTTGCAGAATAGCAACAGTTCTTACCTGATGTATAAGCCTACAATTTTCCACTATCCTGGAAATTATAAATTCTCTGATATCTACAAAACACATTACTGGTTAAGATGGAAATTATTCAAAACAAAGATCAATAATGTTATGTCCCGAGCCTTGCAAACGGCTCGGGCGTTTGCAGGCAGTCCCAGGCAGGTGCAAAGCTGCCCGGGACCAGACAGGCTGTCGCCAGCGCCGTGCGCATGCGCGGGTGCTGGCGCGGGAAAAGTAACACATTTACCCGGGAAGCGTCTATATAAGAAGCTGGGAGGTTGGGGGAGCTGCTGAAGCCATCTACTTGTAAGCTGAACGCTGAATAAAGGAAACTGAGAACTTCAACTGCTTCTCGTGTCTGCTTCCCGCCAAGGACTCAACACGGGCGACGAAGGTGGGATGCCTTGCACTACCTGGAAAGGAAGAAGTGTAAGCTTACCCAAGGAGTCCTGAGCGGCGGAAAGGAACGGCGTCGACTCGGCAGCTGCCCGCCAATCCGGTGCGCATTCGGGGGTAGGCTGGCTGATAGACCCGTCTCCTGAAAATTTGAAGACGGCGAAAATCGGAAGGCTTTCGGAATTCGACGTCTCACATCCAGAGCGGTGGGAGTCCTACGTAGCCAGGGTGGAGAACTACTTCAAGGCAAACCAAGTGAGGGAAGAGAGCTTGAAGGCTGCCACCCTGCTTTGTGTTTGCAGTCAAGACGCCTTCGACATCGCAGAAAACCTTGCAGCACCTGTTCCAGTAGAGTCTGTAAGCTACGCAGATCTGAAGAAGCTACTGAAGAAGCACTTCCACCCCAAGATGTCCGTCATCGCATGGCGCCACACCTTCGAGCAGAGGGATCAACGGCCCGGTGAGTCGGCCAAAGAATTCATCGCCGCATTACGGAAGGCCGCCAAGCACTGCGAGTTCAAATACCTCGAAGAACGACTGAGGGACCGATTCGTGTGCGGGTTAAGGCATCGAGATCTACAACAGAGACTTTTCGCTAAAGAAGAACTGTCCTACCAAGATGCCTTAAGGGAAGTCACCCAGAAGAAGCAGCAGGCGGCGCTATCAAGAACATGCGGCCGATCAGAAACAGTCCAGAGGTTGCATCCGTGCACCAGGAAGACGCCCAAAGGAACTCCGAGGAGGATCCGGACGAGGAAGTCGACCGTCTCCACCCCACGACGGAAGAAAAACAGAAGGGAAGCTCTTCAGCTCCGCTCAAGTGCATCGGCTGTGGAGGTCGCCACAGGAGAATCGACTGCAAGTTCCGCTCCGCTACCTGCCGGGCATGCGGCAAACAAGGACACATTGCAGCTGTGTGTCTGGGCCGACGAAAGGTACAACCTCAGGAAGAACCGTGCCTGAAAGGTACCAGATTCCTCAGCCAGAATAGGGTAGGGTTTTGCGCTTCGCGAAGAAGCATTCTTAGGACAGGCACACACAAGCCAATTAAGAAAAAGCTGTCACTCAAGGTGAAGCTACAAGGGGTTCCATTATCTATGGAACTAGACACAGGGTCTGCCTTTTTAATTATCTCCTTGCATACATTTAGGAAGATTTGTTCCGGTAGTGGAACTCAGGCCAAGTTAAGGCCTTCTGACATTGTGTTAACAGATTTTCAAAATTCAAGAGTGTGTGTTAAGGGGGAGGCCACCCTTAACGTGCAATACAAGAGTTTTGAAGGTCCACTAGACTGGTTAGTAGTAGGGGGTGAACGAACGAGTCTCATAGGACTCGATTGGTTTGAGGCCCTGGGGATACACGTCACAGGACTCAACAGTTTACAAACACTCGACCTACAGGAAGTCTGCAAAGAATTTGCAGATGTTTTCAGCCCCCAGCTGGGCACATTCAAAGGACCCCCTGTGTCCTTAAAGCTAGACCCCACTGTCACTCCCATTAGAATTAAAGCAAGAAGGGTCCCTTTTGCTTTAAAGAGTAAAATTGACACTGAGTTAGACAAACTGATCCAACAGGGAATCCTAGAACCTGTTGATTCCAGTCCCTTGGGAGACCCCCATTGTCACGCCTCTAAAGGCAAATGGGGACATTCGCATTTGTGCTGACTACAAATGCACTCTGAATAAGGCATTGCAGCAACATGCCTATCCTGTTCCTGTGGTCAGTCATATTCTGGCCTCCCTCAAGGGGGGGCGCGTTTTTGCAAAGCTTGACCTAGCTCAAGCGTATCAACAGCTGCCTGTTGATGATGATGCTGCTATAGCTCAGACTATTGTGACCCACAGGGGAGCCTTTAAGGTAAAAAGGCTGCAGTTTGGAGTGAATGTCGCTCCTGGGATTTTCCAAAGCGTAATGGAAAACACACTACGGGGTATACCAGGGGTTTGCCCCTACTTTGATGATGTCTTAATTGCAGGAGACTCCACACACATTCTAGCTGAAAGGCTAAGGGCTGTTCTGTTAAGATTCAGGAAGTCAGGCCTCAAGCTCAAAAAGACAAATGCAAGATTGGGGTGCCTTCTACTGAATTTCTGGGGTTCAAAATTGATGCTGCTGGGATTCACCCTGCTGAATCCAAACTGACAGCTATTTTAGAAGCACCTAGGCCAAAGTCCAAGGCCGAACTTCAGGCCTTCCTGGGCCTCCTGAATTTCTACAATTCTTTTCTTCCACATAAAGCTAGTGTAGCTGAGCCTCTTCACAGGCTACTAGACAAACAAGCAGTGTGGCAGTGGTCACATACACATGAGGCTTGCTTTAACAAAGTCAAGGCCTTGCTCACTTCTAACAGTGTACTTGCACATTTCAACGAATCTCTTCCTGTGTGCATCGCATGTGATGCGTCCCCTTACGGGGTAGGAGCTGTCCTGAGCCACCTCAGGTCTGATGGAACTCAGGTTCCTGTTGCATATTACTCCAGCACATTGTCTTCTGCTGAGCGCAACTACGCTCAGATAGACAGGGAGGCTCTGGCTGTTGTCGCTGGAATTAAAAAATTCCACGATTTTCTCTATGGCAGGCATTTCACGGTCTTTACTGACCATAAGCCTCTGCTGGGACTGTTTACCACACGTAAGCAGACTCCCCAAATCATTTCCCCTAGAATGCTTAGGTGGTCTATTTTTCTGTCTGCATATGATTTTTCTTTACTCCACAAGCCTGGGAAAGAAATGGGCCATGCTGATGGCCTCAGTAGATTGCCTCTGCCAGTAGTAGAAGCTGACCCTGCGCCAGCTGTCAACATTCTATCAATCCAAGCCTTGCCCGAGCTCCCTCTTTGTGCCAGGGATGTTGCCGCTGAAACAGGTACAGATCACACACTTTCACGTGTCCGTTCCTGGGTTTTGTCCGGTTGGCCTGAGCACTGCCCTAGTCCTGAGTTTCAGAGTTTCTGGTCCAAAAGAAACGAGTTGTCCCTTTCTCAGGGTTGTCTGCTTTGGGGAAACAGAGTTGTCATTCCCTCCTCAATGAGGACTAGGGTCTTAGAATCCCTCCACGAGGGTCATCCTGGCATTGTTCGTATGAAGGCTCTTGCACGCAGCCACTTGTGGTGGCCTGTTTTAGATAAGGATATTGAGGCTCAGGTGCATGCATGCCACCTGTGCCAATGATCTCGCCCAGAGATGCCCCAAGCTCCCGTGCATAAATGGGAGGAAACACAGTCCCCATGGTCTAGGGTGCACATTGACTACGCTGGGCCCTTTCAGGGCCAGTTCTTCTTGGTCCTTGTTGACAGCCATTCAAAATGGCTTGAGGTTGTACCTGTCTCATCCACCACCACTGCAAAGACTATTCAGGTACTGAGGGGGATTTTTGCTGCACACGGGCTTCCAGATGTCATCGTGTCTGACAACGGCCCTCAATTCACTTCCTCCGAATTCCAAGCTTTCTTACAGGCTAACATGATTCGTCATGCCACGTCTGCACCCTTCCACCCGTCCACCAACGGTATGGCTGAACGTATGGTGCGCATCACAAAGGACGCCTTGAAAAACTCACCTACGGGGACTGGCATCACAGGTTGGCTGACTTTCTCCTTTCTTATCGCACCACACCGTCCACTTCTACAGGGAGAAGCCCAGCTGAACTTCGCTGGGGGCGTCAACTTACTACTAAACTTGACCGGTTGCATCCGGACAGACTGCCTTCATCTACCTCACATCCTAGGGCACCTAGACAACTACTTGTGGGTGCCCCGGTTTGGGCTCGCAATTACGGGCCTGGTCATACCTGGGTCCCCGCTTCTATTTCCAGGGTCACAGGTCCTCTCTCCTACGAGGTTGCCCTGGACAACGGTCGTGTCCTGCGTCGGCACATCGACCAACTCCGCCCTAGGCGGGACTTTTCAGATGAGACTCCTGGGTCTTTTCCAGGGGGGGAGGGGGACCCTTTGGAGCAAAGGGAAGGGCACGAGCTGCTGCCCATCTCCACTGATGGAGCCACAAACGGCCCATCCCAGAGTTCCGCAATTGCTCCGAAAAGGAATTCATGGAGCTTACCCACACAACAGGCACTCACGCCTACTCCAGCCAGGGAGTCACCCCGGGGGCATACTCACCTTCCACACACATCACACAGCACTCCAGTCACAGAGGATACCTGGGGGCATCCCAACAAATCATTCCCCGCAAGAGAGCTGGCACACAATCCCCAAGGTTGGCCTGACCTTACCCCAAATTCTACAGGGGGTCAAACATACAGGGAGGTGGTCGAGGAACCAAGTCCCGACTACAACACCTCTAGCCCAAATCAGGGAGTAACTGAGTTTTGGGAAAGTACAGGAACCCACACAAGCCCGGACACAGAACGGGGTTCAGGGAATGGTCAGCCTCCTGACAGGTCTTGGACGGACCTAGGAGGTTCAACAGAGACGCCCAGCAGTGGCTATCACTTCAAGGGGCCCGAGGGTCTACAGCTAGGCAGGTCAA